TTGAGGATATACTCTATCAAACAAAAACAGTGTAAGAACTTCTTGTTTTAACCTATTCTTATTTTTGGAGTTGGTTTTAACCAACTATAATTATGGTATAAACGACTGTAAATACAAATACCACGCAAACAAAGTTGCGCGCAAAAGCTAGTGGGTTATAAATAAAAGAAAAACTTCTTAACTGTTACAAAACGTACCTTCAGAGGGTAAGTCTTTCATATTATTGTATTTTATACTTCAGTTAGAATTGCTGCAAGAAAAATTTTGGTTGTTTGCGTAACAATTGGTTACGAACTTCCGGCTTCGTTCATAGACAGAGGGTCGCACAAAAGTTATTCTTAAAGGAAAAATGATTACCGAATTCAATGTCATGTTACTAGGATAGATTAGGTTATTTTAAAGATTTAATTTTTAATTCAAGTATACCTTTATTCTGCCATATTTTTATTTTATCAAATGGAGGATTACAAATAACTAAGTAATCATTCAAACTCGCGAAGCTCGAGATAGATTCAGTGCCGTAAAATTAATTTCATAGAAAGTTATAATTGTAAATACCTACTTAAATAAGGAGGTATCTGAAATATTTTAAAATCATTTTCCTTGTAATAAATAGAAAACTTTTAACTTTGCCTCGAGTTAGAAAGAATTGTAGCGTAGACGAGGTGGGGGTGGACATTCAAACTTCCTTATTACATTCGCTTTTTTACTGTAAATTGATCAAGGTGCAGAGTAAGTTTAACTACATGAAATGTAAATTGATCAAGGTGCAGAATAAGCTTAACTTTATAAAATGCTGCATTGTCAACATCAACATAGAAGCCGTAATGAGGGAAGGTCGAACACAATGCTCTACTGGCCAATTAGAGGATTATCCGCACGTTTACAGTCGCGTAGAGAGAATAGATGAATACTCACGTCGCCTTGTCATAGCGTAGTTAATCAGCTTATTGAAGAAGTAATTTATAATGAGTTACTAATGATTCGTTTAGCATTTTAGTCGAATGAATAGCTTTTCAGGGCGGACATGTCGTAGGAAGCAGATAATGGTAGTTATACCTTTTGTAGGTGAGCCCTGTGTGCAAACGCCGGCGTCCGTGGCGCTTTGTCCCTGCTGTTGGAGTGATGAAATATTGAGGTGTTAGAAGCGCCGAGGAGGGCTCCTGGCCGCGAGGGGCCGGCGTTGCTTCGCGTAGCGAGCGATGGGCGCGCGTGTGGCTCGAGGTCGATTTGCCGGCGGAGTGGCCGGTGAGCCGCGCGTGACAGCCGGCCGATGCGCGCGCCTGCACCACCGCGCATGCTCTATGCCGCGCCGCAAGCGATAACTCTCAACCATCAACCGAGCATTCAGATTCCCCGATACTGTTTGTTACCTATACCACCTATACGCAGCATTTGCATAGACCCTGAGGTGAGCACACTTTTTATGCAATCGTTATCAATGCACACAAAAGTGCATTTTACAAACTTAAGCTTAGAAAAATAGTATGGATTATTTTTTGTCCAACATCTGTTTGACAAATGTTAAGAAGTCTTTATTTTCAATATTTTTCTAAGAATTCATTATAATTAAGCTTAATGGAGCTTTATATTTATAATGATGATTTACTAAGTTATTAAACAGTTCGTAACTGATTAAATCGGCGTTTTTCATTTGTATTGTATTCGCAATAAATTAATGCGATAGTAAATGCGTTGTAAAATGACGGAATCAGCTGTTGGGCCGGCTACGCGTATCGTAGGTTATCGGGGGACGTTATCGATTAGCGCCACTTTCACTATAGGGCGTGAAATGTTTTTTGTTTTTGGCGCTGCTCTAGAAATGGCGTCACATCGTGTTATAAAGAAACAAATTAAATAATTTTTATGTCTATTTATTAAGTAGATGGGTCTTTTATTTTAGGTATATTTTATATTTTTCTTTATAGAAGATAGATATTTTCTTGTAAATAGGTATTTTAATATTCATAATGTTGTCTTAGGCAATTCATTGCCGTCGAACCCAAATCGCCATAAATAATTAATCATAGTTTCAGATAATTTTGTATATTCCCATGATCGAAGTCGAGTTCCGTGGATTTTTTAAGGGACGATCACAACAGAAAACTCTATGGTTCGGGGCATATAAGATGGTGAAATCATCGGTATAGTTTTCTTTATGTTCGGCCCACATTTTTTATCTAATGTTTCATTTCGTTTCTTTTACAGAAGGAATATTGTATTGCACTTTAATATCTATTGGTCATACTCTATAGTCCTTCTACTGTATAAGAAACTAAATTATGTAAATTTTGTGCTCAGCTATCACCATCATTAGTTCATTAACGTATCTACTTTTGGGGCACAAATGTTACTTATGTACGGAATAAAAATATCGTGAATGCCCTAAGCTATAACTTTACCCATAGGTTACGAGATGTTGATTTACTTTTTAATAACAACGAACGAATTATTAATCCCATATATCCACTAAAACACATGCCAAAGTAGCAAAAAAAACGAAATATCGGCATAATATTCGCTAAGATGTCGTATCCTAGGGCTAGAATCATGACTAGAGGGTTAAGCAGTCGTACTCCGTTGCAGATTGGTGGATATTAATTACCGCAGATGCAATTAACACCAACGGCTTAACCGTCTGAAGAAAGGAAAATAAATTCTTTCATATTCATACAAAGAAGTAAGAATTGCTATCAAAACAATGGTGCCCGTAATAAAATAAAAGTAACTAACGAAATAATAGACAATGTAAACTACAGCGGCTTTCAGTGCATCAATAGAATTTTGAATAATGTAAAAATTGTAGGTACTTAATAGCTAAGCTAACGCCTTCGGACACTACCGAGCTTTTGTTTTATGTTTGCTGCATTAGGTCAAGGTCTGCGCTCACGAAACTACACTGTGATATTTTGCACAGAGTGACGCACTACAAGAAATATAGCAGAAAATACCGTATGCAGCCAAAATGCGGCAGTCATCTACAATCCATTTGCTACTCTGTTGACATAAATAATTTTTTGTTTCGAAAATATTAGTGAGAGATTGCAGCGATTCTAAATTAGATGCCTAAATAGTTAAAATAATTAGCTAACTTATAATTAAAGTTTTCTTTATTATTTACCTATAGCGATATTGCAATCGAGGTATTACAATATCAAATAAATAAATAAATAAATAAATATATATATATACAAATAAATTAATAATATAAATATATAAAATAATTTATTTTTTTGTTATATTTTAAACTATATTTAAAATTTAATTAAAAAAGTTTACCTGTTTAGTAAATTTTATTTTGTGTTTTAAAATAAGTTTTTATCGTATGTGGTAATGTTTTAGATAATAAATATAACTTTAATTTTGGAGTCCTTTTTACGAAAATGTTGCGGATGAGATTTGATATTAATGAGTTTAATTATATAATATCATTTCTTCACATATTAAAGTTTAAATATTGGAATACAAGTAATTAAAATGCATTAAATTAAAAAAAAAACTATGCACACACTGCTTACACTGCAATACGTTTTATAATTTTGTTTTCCCACTGACAAGACGATAATAAAATGGCATACATTTCTTTAATGAATGAAATGAAAATGAAAATGTTTTTATACGAGTAAGCTTGTTACAAGCACCTTTGAATCGTCCAAAAATATTTTTTCCCCTACCACTTGTTCAGGACGTCTTTTAGCTGACAAGAAGAACAAGCGAAAGAAATTTACCAGCTTTTATCATAAGTAATGAATGACATTTACATAAATCATGTCATTACTAAAATAATACATATATTGAACAATAATAAATACAAGTTTCAAAGTCTATAGGACATAGGTTGGTACATACCTATAATTAATCGTTATAGAACAAAGCGAAGGCTATTAATTCCATGCATTGCAGTCCTTAAAATAATCATCAACTTTATAATAGCCTTTACTCATAAATATATTCTTTACATGAATTTGAAATTTATTTATGGGTTAATCATAAAACCCTACCATTACTATAAAAGACGACTATTACATATTTTTGGTTTGTCTGTCCAGTGGGTAGATTATTAAAGAATATTATTATTTTTTGGGTAATCAATTAATTAAGACTATATATTGAGTTGAAATGTCGCACGGAGTCACACCTTTGTACAAAGGTACATTTTCTATAAAATAGTGATCACTTGTGACGTATCGAGCCTCCACTACTCAACTTTAAAACCCATTACTTAAGCAATTTCTTGTTAAATTGAAGCAAAAAAAGATACGTCACTAAACATTTTTTTTTAACCAGGCATCACCCTTGTTACCAAAATTAGATTTATGGTCAGGCAAATTAAACGAATGTACACAATGAGGAAGTATTTAAAAAAAAACGAAAGCACTAAAAAGCACCACCACTAGATGGCGACCATAGCAAAAAGTTGATTTTTGTAGGAAACGAATGGACCAAAGACAGTAATTTCCGTTCCTTTTAACTAATTAAAAACTGAAATTAGAAAAGTTAATTGAAGTGTTAGTTGAAAGGAATGGAAATGTCTGTTTTTGGTCCGTTCGTTTCCTGCAAAAATAAACTTTTGTTAGAGCCGCCATCTAGAGGAGGTGCTTTTTTGGTGCTTTCGTTTTTTTTAAATACTTCCTCATTACATTGTTTAATAATTTCCAAGGGAATTTATCAATATCAGCGAGCTCATAACGGCATACCAGAGATGTTATTTTATAATGGTGTTCGATGTATTAACCTTCATCTTTCTTGAGATCACATTTGCAAAAGCCAGGTGCCACAAGAATCTTTTCTGCGGTCTCACCGTATACATAGTGAACCGCATGTAATTCATACAGCGCCATCTAGTGATGGAGAGGCAAACTATAAAATTGAACACATACTGTGTTTTATGCTTTCTGGTTTTATATTTTTTCTTGTGAATCAAGACACATCCTCAGCATAATATTCTGAGGTCACAACATCACCGTTTATATTAATGTCCTTGGATCACATTAAAATAAGGTTCGACTGCTGCTGGGGTTAAGGCATTTCCAAGAATTTTAAATATAGTATACCATGAACTTCTTAGGTATTTCCTATATATGCCATAGATATAATCGATCCACTTAGGTCCAGTGATTTATATACTAAGTACTTATTTATTTATTTATGTTTTAGATTTTTGGCTGATATGTGTTTTAGAAAACCTGTTAGTAAAATTTAAGGCGGAGTACAAAACGTTGACATTGTTTAATGACATTCCTGCTTCACATCAAAGGTATGTACTTAGATTTCTATTCAAATCCAATATTTGTTCCTTATTTATAAATGTATGAATAATGATCAACAGTGGTCATTATTAAACAATCAGTAATTTTTTTCCATAGGTTCAGTTGTTTCGGAATAATACTCTATTTTAACTTTTCTGTTTCAACTTGTTATTATTATGTAAACTAGTCAGTTTCTGAACTACGATTCTTTCCAACATGGCCAAAACTTGACAGTAGTGCCCTCTCTTTGAAGCGTATTAGATAAATTATAAAATACTAAAAGATTTTTTTTTTTCATTTTACATGTAAAAATTAATTATTAATTTACTTGACATTGGCAGAATTGTGTGAAATGCGCAGATAAGCCATTAATTAAAAAAGAAGTAGAAGAAGAAGAAGAAGTAAAATACTAAAACTGCCTTCAAAAAATCTAAACATATTTAAAAGCTATTAGATTGATTTTCATGAAACTTTATTTGAATTCCGACAAAGATTTGTTGGCCATGCTTTTAACGATTGGCATATTACACGGACACAGTACTTATATAGTACTGTGTCGTTATATAGTACAGGACTCGTAACTCCCAAAAAATATATTACAAAAATGCACCTTATTACTTTTAATTGCAGTATACTTTTCATTATTTTTTGTACAGAAGTTAATGTGAACCGAGAGAGATAGTCATAAGGGAGGCCATGTCTTTCTTTCATCTTGTCATAATAAAAAATATTGACAAGATGAAAGAAAACTACTTCAACATCAAGCAAATGAGGAAGTATCTTAAAAAAACATTAGTTCCCGAAATCAAACTAGATGTGGCTAGGGCTTTCTTGATTTTTCCATGACAACCCTTCCGGTTTTCTTTCATGTCTAATAGTAAATTAATTTTCAAAACTCAATAAACAACTCATATTTTATATGTACTTTTTCGTATTTGTATTGATATCTAAGTTTCAAACTTTGCAAATTTCAGTGTTTTTAATATGTTAGTTAAAAGGAACGGATTTATATTCTTAATGGATAAAATTAATTTGCTCAGTAATCCATACTGGGCCAAAGTGGTCGTCCTAAATTATTTAAAATTTTACCATCCATCTGATAACCGTCCTTTGTGATCGTCGCTTAACCTCTGCAATTTCAAATCAAATACTCTAATCACTACACCATCGAGCTGTTCGATAGGAAGACCATACCTTTAGGAGATAATTGGTAATATTAGTACCAGTACCTTTGAGATTACGGAATTGATATCGCTACTCGATTTTTTCAGTTCAGTAAAAATAGGTTCAACCGTTTGTGCCCTCACACAATTGAAACAATATCTCAGATCATCAGTTTTTAATTAGGTGTCGAGGAGACTTGCGATTCTCCATCCATTTTATATAGACGCGCGATTTCTGCGATATCGCTCATCGAGATAGAATTGCAAGAAGTGCCTAGAAGTATCTAAAATAAATAATAAACATGTAATTATTTTAACAAAAAGTTTTATAAGATTAATGTCTACTCGCGGTAGTTATAAAACTGAATTATATGAAAAGTCTCACTTAACGAACATATTATTGTAAGAGATATTGAAAGAGATAATTAGCCTCTTTACTTGATATCTCGCTCGGCTAGCTTTGCTGCTGGGAGTGTTCGGTCTTGTTTTAAAGTATTATGTCTATGGGTGTTTATAAACTAAAGTTGGCTGCAAAAAAGTAACGAATTTGTTAACGATTTATAATAAAATAGCCTGTTGAATTAGATTTCTTTGCTTTTCGATAATTAAAACTATAAGCAACGACAACAAGTCATTAGGGATGTCAGATTAATAGAAAATAATCGATTTAATAAAAATCGATTATCTTTTATAAATTATAAATCGATTTGTCAATAATCGATTTTAATGAAAATAAATAATCGATATTTGCGAAAAAATCGATTTTTTTTTCTATTATTTAAAATCCTACATGCTTTGCATATTCCAATAATAAACCTAAAAGATTCATATTAACAATTAATCAGATTAAAAAAACTAATATGAATAAAAAAAATGACAATTCAAAACTAAAAATCAAAGCAAATGTTCTTTTAAACTTTCAAGGTAAGGTATAATAAAACCAAATATCATTATTGATAGAAATTCTCAGTATCTTTAAACGTTATATAATAATAAAAATTAAATGAGCACCCCATCAAAATGACAACCTTATTGTCGCAAAAAATTAAATATAATAATAAAAAAAAAATGTCATGAATGTAAATGTTTAGTTTTCGATAAATATCAAACATCAATGTTGGACTTACGATGATGATATCGATGTCAACATCGATGTTATTCTAATGTCGTCTTGAGTATCAGATTCTTCTTACATATTTTTTCTTCGGTTATCCGCCATTTCTTCTTCGTTATCATTTAATTACTTTTTGTATTACAACCATTGCAGTTTCTTCAATGACTTCTTTTAAAAATTTCTTGCATCTTCTCTTTATATCCAATATATATATTCAATTCTCTTTATATCCATAGTTAATTTAATTCTCGGAGTAATAATCATTTGCTGTCTATCCCATTATAAGTATGTAGGAAAATAACTAACAGCTTGACCTCCGTCCCATGTCACAATTCACACCACTATTTTGTAGCTTCGGACCATCGTGTTCACGGTCGCCATGAAATAGATCATATATACCTACATACCTACAGATGGCGCCGTTTTTATATAATCAACTTTTAAGTAATAATGCTTCGAGTTTTTTCATTTGGCGCATAGATGATGCTATTTATGAAAATCGATTTAACCGCGCAATTTATTTAATCGATTTGTTAAAAATCGATTAATATGACATGGAAAATCGATTATTTTTTAACATCCCTACAAGTCATGTGTTACATCATGACAGAACACTGTTGACAGATTGTAAACAAGTCCATTATTTTTCTAACAAATTTAACTAAATAGCGTTTTTATTCCATATACTGTAATAAAATATTTATGTATGAAGAATGTAATTATTTTTTTATTATTTTATGATGGTAGTAAAGTTGTAATTCGTCTTTCAAGCGTTATTTCTTTCTTATAAATTATCTTGTTTTCAGAGAACTTCAGAAAATTAGGAATGTCTCGGTTCAGATTTGGAAGACAACATGAAGGTTACCGGCTCCTGTCGAATGACGATAGTGGCTTCTCAGATACACAGTTTGAATTACCACCGCAGAAGATTCCTTGGAAAGCAATAAGCTTAGCTGCATTTTTGTTCATAGTTGGAACAGTGCTACTCATAACTGGAAGTCTTATAGTCACCGGTCACATAGACACTAAATATTCAGATAGGTTATGGCCAATGATAGTTTTAGGTGGTATTATGTTTTTACCTGGTGCATATCACATAAGAATAGCATATTATGCCTTTAAAGAATATCCAGGATACAGTTTCACTGATATACCAGAATTTGAATAAGGAATTTTGTAACTAATTTAACTTTTGTATTACTAAGTATGAATGACAATTACCCAAAAGAATGTTTCAAAAAATGTGCTATTTTAGTTACTAATAAAATTTGTATAACTTTTGCTGTATTTAAGTTAGTTTATCAAAATTGCAATTAATTAGAAATATTTTGTAAGTTATTACATGTTAATATATTTGACTCTTATTATTTATATCAAAAAACTTATGTCCAGATTCTTCTTTAACTAAATTTTGATTATTTAGTGAAATCATTTGGTATTAGAATGTCATTTAAAATTTCAGTGACTTAATGGACTGGATACTAATAATAAAATATTAATGTTCTAAGCTGGTTTGTTTTAATTAAATAAAAAAGGTATATTGTAGGCATATTTTAATGATAATAATCATAATTTTAATAAATAGACTGAGTCACTTTACAACTTGTAGAGTTTTAAAGAAAATTAAAATGATTCTTAATGAATTATTGTAAATAATTATAGTTTTGATACTACCTATCTAAAAATTCATTGCATATGTTTACCTATTAGCCCGTTTGCCTTTTTTTGTCTGTGAAAAGCTTGTTTGAGGGAGAGGCACAGAATGCCCTGTATTTTTTAAATGTTCAAACAATTTATTTTTTGATGGAAAATCTGTTTGGCACACAGCACATCTAAGAAGTGCAGTGCTAGAATCTTCAGTTTCACTAGCTTTAGGTCTAAGAGGTTTCCTTTCCACAGGCTTTTTTGACTTTACATTCCGCTGCATTTTGGGTAACATAGGCCTGTCTTTTGGTAAAGCTGCTTCTCCCAATGGATCATCTGTAGGAGTTGTGCTAGATACTTCATACAAGTTTTCTGTAGAAGTCTGTGATTGAGATCCTTTTTTGAGATTAGCTTCTTTTTTAGCTTGAATCTGACTTTTTAACATATTGAATTTTTTAGCTTTCCTGCTTCTAGATGGTCCCTCTATTTCATTGAAGCTCATTTCATCATGACTGTCATTACCTTCACTTTCTGGCATTGGAATAAATGACTTTTTCTTATTCTTTTTCTTCTTATGACTTTTGGGCAATGCCTGTAATGAAAACACATGAAATTAAAGAAAATTATGAAGTATCAAAAAGGCAATTAATTGTGACTTTAAAATACCTGCACTTGATCTGAGTCATCACTCAGTGTTTCCCTAAAATCATTTTCTGATGTCGAGTTTTCTATCTTACTTTTGACATCTTCAGTTTCTCCATTAACTATATCTTCATCTTCTTCATCATCTTTAATTGGAGCATGGGCAACTTCATCATTTTCTTCTTTATTGTCTGAAATATCGATGTCTTCTTCCAAAGACATATTGGCAACATTTTCTTTGTGTTTTTTGCTATTTTCATGATTTTCAAATGATTTGATGTTCTTGAACAACTTACTGCATGCAGAACAATAGAGATTCCTCATTGATTTAGATTTCGTAGTTGATTTTGCTGTTGCTTTTGATGCTTCACTTGCCTGTAATTTATATACATAAGTAAAAAAAAAAAACAAATGCAAAATTCTTGCTGAGATCTTGAGTGGGTGAACAGTTATAGTAGTTTCCTGGATAGTTACAGGTTTCGTGTTCAAATTCCATCTTGAGAATTACCATTTTCATGAGTAAAATCTCTAAGATATATCTATTATATATAATCCAGGTGACTGCTTTAACTGTTCACAACCTTGAGGAATTATAAGCACTAAATTAAAGTAGAGTCAGTACATAATTGATGAATTGAAAAATATCAATGTAATCTTACCTCTTCAGTCTTAGAACTTTCCTCATTACTACTTTCCATTCCACCCTCACTAATAGTATCATCTTCAGAAGACAAGCCAAACTCTTCTGCTAGAAGTGACTCAATTTCACTAAGCTTTTTTTGATACTCTTCACTATGAATAAATGAGCTTTCACCCTCCTTTTTCTTTGCCTCTTCTATCTCCTTTTGCCTCTGTATTATTCTCTCTCTCCTTACTTGTTCTGCCTGCAAATTTATTTTCATAATTATTAATTACGATCAATATAAGGTTATAAGGATTATTTCATATAAACTTTACAGTTCTCGGACTCACCTTGCGTTTATTTTCTTCAGCTTTCTCTTGTAGAAGTTTTGTATGTTCAATAACTCTTTTATCCTTCCTACGCACAAAGCTTACTAGTCTCCTGATCTCCTCATTTCTTTCCTTTCTAGCTTTCTGTCTTATCTTGTTGTTTTCTTTTTCCATTAATTTTATAACTCTACGGTTATCACCTTGTTGAAGCTCATATTGATCTAGCCATACATAGCCTGGAATAACAGATACAAACAATCAAATTATAGTATTTTAAACTATATTAAATATGTAACATATAAAAACCCATATGTTACAAAAGCATACTTACTTTTATTTGTGGAAAAAGACATCCAATATGCATAGAATTCATGCACATCTTCATAGGGTGTAGAAGAGTTACCAAATTTAGGTATTTTAGCAACTTCTTCAGGGTCATCAAGGAAGTCAGTCTCTTCAGCTGCTAGTTTTGAGAAAACCTGATGAAAAATATAGTTTTCTAAAGTAAATATTACAATTCTTCAGTAATACCACCAACAGAATTATGATTTAACTAATAAATGCATTTACTTCAGAGTAGACTCCATAGAACCCTGGAGGATCATCACCAAAACCTTTGTAGCATGACGGACTGAAATAAGGGTAAACATCAAGGCTGTCATCGTTGTATGAACTGCCAGCACCTCTAAGCAGTTGCTCTCTGTGATTGTCATACCTGGAAATAATAACAGATACAACATAGAGATATGTTACATAAGACATAAGTGGTGGAATTAGAAAATGATTATGTTATAAAGAATTTAAACAATGCTTTAACAATATTGTGCTATATTTTTGTTCATAAATTGTTGATATGATGAAACTATACAATGGGCAGAAAATTTCTATAATACATGGATATAAAAATAAAATTATCATGAAAGTAATCAATCATTTCAAATTTGTAAAAGACAATGTCCAGACCGTGGTATTTTTTAGACAACTGTTCAGATCAAAACAGTAGTTAATCATGATTATGAACTACTTGAATAGAATAGACATTTGATTTATTTGAAAATTTAAGTAAGTGTACAATTTAATAATTTACCAGGCTCTTTCTTGAGGGTCCGAGAGGACTTCATATGCGTTCTGTACTAGTTGAAACTGTTCTTTCGCTTCTTGAAGATTATCCAAATTTTTATCTGGATGCCATTGAAGAGCGAGGCGCCTGTACGCCTTTTTAATATCTGAAGCACTTGCTTCTTTGTTAATATTTAATACTTCGTAGTGGCACTTCATTTTTTCAACATATTATCAAAGAAAACTTTGAAATGATCCTTTAGCGTTCACGGCGCAAGTTGGCTATTGATAAAATTTTACTCGGTGCACTAAACTTTAAATATAACATACGTCAAATTAAACTGCATAAGTTGCGTATAATTAGCCACGAATTATAAGGAACTTAAATATTAGCATGACTTGAAAACTGGAAAATAGTATCGATCTATTTAGAACTCTGCATATTACAGCCGAAAAGACACGACGTCCATGCAGGTTAAGGTATTCCGAGTGTTGCTATTAGGGTTCGAACGATACTTTCGATACCGAGAAGGTATCGATACTTTCAAAAACGATTCTCGATACTGAGTACTCGATACCAAAGCCGTAATATATCGTAAGTACTCATAAACATTGCCGGTATCGAGTATTGCTTGATACGACTTATTTACAGTTGTCATTTAGCTTCTATACCTATATAAATATTTGGAAGAATTAGTCTGTGGTTTTTCAATTTTCATTTTTTTTATTATCACCTCAATACAATATATGTACTTCTGAGTTTCTTCAATCATATACACCATATAAAATATATTTTTTAGAAAAACCCTAGAAATACATTAACATTTCAATAAAATTTAAAAACAATAATCGTATTTCAGAAAAATCCGTAAATTACCATTTACTTATAAAGTTAAAATATTTTGGATAGTGTTTCATTCTAGCGTTGCTAGTTGCTGCTGATGCGACATTTGCTATGACTTATAAAATTGGCCATCATTTAAAAGAAAACAATAGAACCAGTTATATTGCCTTATCAAAATCTACGGCAATGTAACTAGTTCCTAGTGCTAAGCCAGAAAAAAAATTGCATATAAATCATGTTTTATTTTTATTATATTCAATAATTTTGATTACGAACTGAGTTCTTATTGAAACTACTCAAAAGAAAAGTCGTAATCTCTGACTGAGTACTCGGGGGAAGTTTTAAATTTATTAGGCAACTTATGTTTTTTGTTTCTAATTCATTAAAAAATATCTCTAGCAAAACTTTTTAATTTGCTCCTCAATTGTCTCCTCGTTGCGTCCAAAGAAAATTTATGCAATAGAATTTTATATTTTTCATAGTTCATGCATAGAAATATGCATGAACTATGAAAAATATAAAATTCTGGCAGTTTTTAAATGTTGTCGGTAAATACTCGATACTGAGTTGTATCGATATTTTGGGAGCGATACTTATATAGTATCGATACCATGTCCCTCGATACCACATGAGTACTCGGTATCGATACCAGAAGCCGATACTTCGAACCCTAGTTGCTAATTCAATAAAATATTTTACCTCTAAGAAAATATAAAATATTGGTGCCTGCTGTAAGTTTCGTTAGCCAGAGTAAAAGGACTTGTATAATCGAAATCTCAAACAACTCAAACAACAAACGTATTATTTTTTATTCGCGTGATTATTATTACCATATAGCAGGGTGATTTTTAAGATCTTATCATGTTGAAATTAAATTACAAAGGAGATATCGTAAATAAAGTAAAAGCTTCAATCATAGTTTTTATATTTCTTAAAATTACTCCCAACAATATATTAGAAACGTCTTCGCAAAACAAACATAGTTGCTAGAACATAAAGGCAACCATTGAGCTTCTTAGAGTTTCTTTTTTATAAAGGATCTTTCACATACTAAAGAGTTTGTATAGGTCTTAACAGTTGATAAACCAATTCTCTATATTAATATTCTTGACAAATTTTTCTCAAAAAATATTTTTCAACCATCTAATGTGATATATATAATGAATATTAACCTAAAATTCTAGACAGGACTCCAAAGACACATTTTTTTTTATTTAAATATGATACTGATAATCTTCATGGACATGATTTTCACAAAATTATAATAACAATAATATCTAAATTTTAGATCGAGGACAAACAGAATTTGCCTCAGGTGTCATATTAACAGGGTAATGAGGAAGTATTAAAAAAAACATTAGTTCTCGAAATCAAACTACTTTCTTAATTTCTCCATGACAACCTTTCCGGTTTTCTTTCAAGTTTAAAAGTAAATTAGTTATCAAAAGTCAATTAAAATCTCATATTCTATTTGTACTTTTTCGTATTTGTATTGATATCTAAGTTTTGAACTTTTCAAAATTCAGTTTTTGAATATGTTAGTTAAAAGGTACGGAATTGACTGTCTTTGGTCCATTCGTTTCCTGTAAAAATCAACTTTTGCTAGAGTACTTTTTCGTATTTGTATTGATATCTAAGTTTTGAACTTTTCAAAATTCAGTTTTTGAATATGTTAGTTAAAAGGTACGGAATTGACTGTCTTTGGTCCATTCGTTTCCTGTAAAAATCAACTTTTGCTAGAGTCGACTTTTTTAGTGTTTTCGTTTTATTTTAAATGCTTCCTCATTTGATAATTTATTTATTTATTTCTCTAAAATACAAAAATAAAATCAAACTTAAATTATACAAATTAAACCCAATAAAACAAATAAAATACAAAAATATTTTCCATTCGAGACATTATGTCCATTTTCAGGAATAAACACTAGAAAATGTACCTATTTCTTTAAAAAGTGAAGATTTTTCGATGAACCTTCTAAAAATTATACTACTTTTTTAACATGAAAAAGTACATGATGCAAGAACAAAGCAAAAGAAGGAATCTAATTTGAGAAATCAATAGAGTTACGAGGTATTTACAATTAACAGTGATTGTATTGGAGAACACCAGCACTTCAACTTTCGTTTTTATATTATTATTTAATTTTTAAATATTACTCTACTTTTCTTGCTTTTGAGTTGGCAAAATTGATCAAATATTATTTTTGCATCAGATAACAATTGTTCAAACGCGCAAATGTTTGATGTGGATGCTGAAAAAAATGCGTAGATTTCTTGGACAATACAGAAAAAGTTTGTAATTTCCAATGAGTTTTTAGCGGCGTCATTTACTACTAAATTGAGGGAGTGAGCACGGTACGTAAAAATCACAAGGATTCATGTCCAATATCTTATTCAATATTGCATGATTTTTAGAAATCTAACAAAAGGTCGCCATATTATCCATTACAGGTAAAAAAACCTAAAAAATGTTCTAATTACCATTAGTATCTAAGACTGCTTGCCAACGATCCGGCAAATTTTGGATGCCTTTTGCCCAGAGTTCTGGGCAAAAGGCATCCAAAATTTGCCGGATGTCTGTGCCTCGAAAAAGTTGTTCAACTCCGCCTCTACGTCAGAGAAATCATTAAATTGTTTACCCCGCAAATGCTGTTTCAGGGCTCTAAACAAATGATAGTCTGATGGGGCGAGGTCTGGGGAATAAGGTGGGTGGGGTATCGTCTCCCTGCCCAAGTTCTCCAACTGCCGGCGAACCACAGATGCGACGTGAGGTCGAGCGTTATCGTGCAGTAAAACTTCATTAACTCGTCTTCGTCGTTTTTTCTTGATAGCGGCAGATAATTTGGTAAGCTGGGTTGAATATTTGTCAGCGTTTATAGTTTCATTGTATAATAGCTCATAAAACAGTATGCCTTGCGCATCCCAGAAACAGCAAAGCAGAATTTTTCGGCGGTTCTTTTGACTCGGCTTCGGTTGAGTTGGTGGCGTTTCTTCTCGAGGCAGCCAAAAAGCACGACGTGTATCGTTCTCGTAATAAATCCATGATTCATCTCCAGTAACCAGATCTGACAAAACCTCTTTACGTCGGGGTCGCAGCAAAAGTGACTGACAGATAGTGACACGGACTGCACGACTGGCGTCTGTAAGGATGTGCGGTACCCACCGAGCCAAAACTTTTCGATAACCAAGCTCATGCAGATGGTGTTCCACGGCGTGGTGACTGCATTTAAGTGCTACCGCTAATTCACGAGTGGTAGCATCCGGATTCAACTGCAGTTCGCGGCGCAAATCGTCATCATTCACTGCGGGTGGTCGCCCTGAGCTTGGCTGACTTTCGAGGCTCCTGTCTCCTGATTTAAAACGGTCAAACCATCGGGACACCGTCGCATGGCTTGTACTTCCAGCGCCTAATGCATTGTTGATATTGTCAGCCGCAGCCCGCGCACTGTGGCCTAACAAGTACTCGTATAAGTATAGTGTTCGAACTTGTCGCTCGTCCATTTTTCTTCAAACTGACTAAACAAATCGCGAGCACGGCTTTATATCCCTACACCAGAAGTACCTAGAATGTTTTACAACATTCTAGAATATTATCGAAAATAATGATTTTAAAAAGGAAATGTTATAGATTTTTCTAGTGTGTCTCATTATCCGAATGTATTTAGACTATATTGAGAACGAAAGGTACTTTTTGATAAACTCATTATTTTATTTATTTTTACGCATTGATACCTATTTTTTAACTAACTTCTTATGCAGTCAATAAGAGAGTAGAGAGTAGATGAATACTTTACTCATAACGACGTAACCTTCCAACTTTTGGAGTAGAATTTAACGGGAAATACAATCAAAGGCTTTGCTTATATCTAGAAATAATGCGATTATGGGCATTTTTTTATCTAAACATTCCATAACATTTTATTCAAGTAAGAAACAGGCATGAACAGTTGAGCTGTTTTTCCTAATTCCATATTGTTCTATTTTCTGGACAGCATTATTTCTTCAAGGACTTTTAAAAGTATTGGAATCGACGTGTTTTAGGTTATTCTAAAATAACGCCTTAATATAATCTCGTAGGTTGTAGATCCTGATGTTCTAATTACAGAGATGGACTTCCGTCTAGTTCTATATTCATGCAAAAACTTTGCCAGATTACATAGGTATAATTATAATAAATATTAATAAGGAATAATGAAATGAGCTCATAAAAAAAGAATCATTTTAATATGTTCATAAGCCAAAATCGTCTTACGAAACACATAAATATTGGCAAAAGCAAATCGATTAGACAGCTAGCCACGTACGCGACATTCATTATTCGCATGATTTATATAACCAAACTGAAAATAACTATTTCATTCATAATTCGCAATGCAAACTTTAAACAAATTCAGTTATTTTTCAATATTAGCATTGTGAATGCAAAATTGATCAAATATAATAAGTAGAACAATATAAAAAGTAGAACAAACAAAAAAGTTAAGTAAAGTGTAGAAAAGGGTGGATCGCTTGAACATTAATGAAAATTCGCTCTGTAGTAGCAAAAAAGTAAAAAGTGCTTGAAAAATTCATCAGTCCTGTTAGGTCCTGGGTAGCTCAGTGGTTAGAGTAGTCGCCCAGATTGCGAAAGGGTTCGAGTTCCATCTCAGAGTGCCAGGGACAAAGTGGATTTTTTAAGCATTAAA